TAAAGCGGGGAGCACAGACTCTTGCATAACGCATGACACGTAATGCATAAGAATATGTACCAATAGAAGTTCTCCGTTTCTTTCCCTTCCATGTAATAGAGAATTCTGGTTGGTTTAATTTCTTATGCCTCATGTGTTATGCGTTATGCAAAAGTCTGTGCTCCCCGCTTTACTCTGGCGCGGTACACACACGCACGCACGCACGCACGCAGGGTGTTCGGCGAGACTTCTATCATAAAGCGCCTAGAGCGAACTAAACTGAGTTGAAAAGTCCTTTAGCATTTTGCAATTTTCGCAATATAGTTAATGAGATATTGATTACTAAAAATTGCTGAAAATTGATCATCAATCATTTTTTTAACTCAAATACTATCTATTTTACAGAAAAACTGCAAGGCTGCGTTCACGCAAGAATTACATCAAGATTAAGCTATATGTTACGTTACGTATATTATAGCAAAAATGCACCCTAGAGGCGTAATTATCTAGGCGTAATTCTTGAACGCAGCCCAACAGACAAAAATTGTTGATTTTCTTCTCATAAAGTTCTAAGCATTTTTTTAGAATTTTTTATCAACTTTTTAGTATATTGCATTTTCTTATTATTTTTATCAACATGAGATAATACGGTATTAAAAATTCTGAAAAAATTCTCACTTTTCATTTTCCGTCCTAGGGATAAAGTTTCATGATTGATACCCTGAACACATTGACTCGGTTATTTAGACTCTACTCTTCCCTCTCCAACGAAGGGGATATATATGGGTTAGAGTTGACGATTATCCGTTTATCCGGAGATTCGAGAGAGATAAAGTATACATATAAAAAAAAAATAAAATTACTATAATATTATTAAATATACTCGCTTCATGTACTTGCTCACTTGCATATTACATACATAAGTTTATTAATCTTTTATATGTATAGTGAATCTAATTTTAAAGCTGTATATTATATATAGATTCTTTCGAGACGAGACGCGCAAGTTGGCACAAATCCAATCTTTACGAGCTATTACTCGATACACTTGATTTGCCCGTCGAGAGCGAAGACGGACTTCTCGCGGAAACTTTAGCGAGAGAGTTTTCCATTCTGCTGATGAATTTTTGAAAGGTATTTCTTTTGATCGCCCCACTATGCTCAGGCGAATCCTCGATCTCGTCGCTTCCCTCGTTACTGCCTTGTCTATTTGGCTCGATGGAGCAGTTAACATCGCTCGTAACTCGTGATTTTCGGTTGACGGCAAATCGATTCCAAGCCTTTTTGTCCAAACTGATTGATTTAGCGTCTTCGGTCTCTTTCTTGCCGATAATGTCTCTTTGTCGTGCCGTGAAGTCGGCCCACAACGCTATATCGTCGTACAATTGGTCATTCTCATCGGCATCGTCGCAAATACACAAGTCGCTTCTTGGTGACTGATAATGCTCCGTCTCTTCTCGGGCGTTCGTTTCCGATTCTATGTCATACATCGCGTTGAGTTCAGCTTCGTTTACTTTCGTACTACATGAATCCCGTGTTGACTGCAAAACAAGATTATTTGCTATCGAAAGAGAGTAGGTACATTTCAATTAAAGGAAGTCACACATTTCCATTAATGAAACAAACGAATTCTTATCATCGTAAGGAACATTTTACCTGCCGAGGATTTTTATTATGCCGTTCTCGATAGGCACTAACATCGTCGTAAAATTCTTGCGTTTCACTTTGACCTTCCACGGGCAATTTTACTTGATAAATTGGCCTGGGTGGAGGAGGATGATTATATTCCGGCAATTCCTCGCCCTTGCTCGTTAAGAATCCTGTCTGATAATCCTGTTTTGACGTCAGATCGGACGCGTCGTCGTAAGTGGACATTTTTTCCGTATCCAAAGATAATGCTGAATTTGACGAAATTTTATCCTTGCAACGATACCTCTCTCTCTTGTCCGTTTCTTTGCTGGGAGATTCTCTTCTACTCAGAACTCTATTCAGAAAGGACTTTTTTTGTTGAAACTTGCACGACGGTTCGATCTTGACACGATCTTTGGCGAATCTTCCATGTGAAATCAAGCTCTGTATCGAAACAAAACGAAAACTATATCATATAATTTTATTACACGGCGCACTTATTTATGCAATATTACACAAGCTTTGATTAGTCATTTAATAAAGTAACTACCATATATAATATGAGTGGTAAAAATAATTCACTTATTGCTCTACTAAGAGAGAGAGAGAGAGAGAGAGAGAGAGAGAGAGAGAGAGAGAGAGGGAGGGAGGGAGGGAGGGAGGAGGGAAGCGAGGGAGAGGGAGAGAGAAAAGCATAATTGTGTCTTTGCAAAGCGTTAATTGCAATCATTAAAACTAGGCTTACTTCCACATCGTCATAAAATTCTTCTCTTTCCTCAATCGCCCCGTCAGCGATAGATACATCGATAGATGAATCATTATCCAAGTTCTGTTTCGGCTCGATCCTCGTAGCGTCTGTTCGCAAAAGTGTAACGATATCGTCGTACGTCTCTTGAGACGATATTGCATCACAGGACTTACCTTCCTTCATCTTCTCATTTCTCTCGTTTTTTTTGTTGCGCGCACCAACAATGTCATCATACGCGATAGCTTCCTCCCGCTTCTCGTAACTAATACCAACCTGCTTTTCTTTCGGCAATACCATATTTTGATAACGCGTTTCATTTCTCAAGTCTTCGATTCTGTGATAAATGTCATCATCATCGTCGTCGTCACCGTCGACGGTCGCTCTGTAAGAGGATACCGTAAAAATCCCGTTATCGGGAGGTAAAGAGGGAAGTCTTCGAGGTCTTCGAGGTATTCGGGCAGGTAGCGAAGGCGCCCTTTCGTCTGTGCTGCTCTCTCTTCGCTCGACTTCGTTCCTGTTACTCGGCAATTCGGCTTTGGCCGTTGAGTTATGGCCGTCGACGACGGCGACAACTAATTTTTCAGCATCTTGATGTCGCGTTGCCTCGTTACTACGGCTGTGATCCGTTAACGAGGATTCGACGATAGTGGCCCGCCTTTTCTTTTCATCAACTTCCGTTGCTTTGTTCCTTCCGCTCTCATTGCAACATTCTATTTCGCAGATCTTTGCTATCCATTGGTCCATCTCCTTGGGTGTTGTCGCAATAAACTGCAACGTTTGGTTTCCAGGGCTATATATCTCGAAGGCTGATTCACTCTTTTGTCGGTCACGGGGAATCATATTTGGCGCCGGGCGGGCCTTATAACCCCGAATCGGATAGATCGCGTACGGTCGATTGTGCCGTTCGCTTCGATAGATGAGCAGATGCGATCCAACCAATGCGATCCAGCAAGCGCGACTTTCCGATAGAAACAACTTCTTCCCTTCTTTCCTGTAGAGCGGGCCGCATTTGTAACACTTGCTTTTAATTTGCATCGCCGAAACATTTTTGTAAATTCCGATCAGCATCTGGCCCCCCTCGTCCCGATCGTCGCTTTGCTTGGGATATTTCACATTCGTGATCGATGACGCGCTTGCGGTCTGGAGAGAGCCGTCATTTTCGAAGGTTTCGTAATAATCCTGATGAGTGTGCGTGCGAGGGTGGATCTGCAGGGTACGCTTTTGAGATTCTTCCATTCCGACGTATTCTTCTGAATCGGCTCCACTCTTGGTCAACAATAAGCTTCTCGGCCCGGACTTCATATCCAAGTAAGGTTCCGGGGATGACGCTCGAGTCATCGTGACGCTTAAAGTGTTTTTCGACCGTATCAACAGCTTCTCCCTCAAGTTCTCGAGCATAAGCGGAAGCTGCGCGTCGCCAAGACATTCCAGAAACGTTATCATTTCTGTCAACAGAGTATATATCTATGTATATACATCCCGTAGAGAACATATGGAAGAGCACAACGGTTTAAACTCATTTGCGCGAAAAACAAAAAATTTCCTGTGTTTGTCGTTTCGTTTAAATATACATACCTCGCAGTACTTGCAATATATCGTTAATGTTCATGTCGGTTTCCATATTGTTGTACCTGTGTCGGTGCGCTCACGTGCTTGCTTTTAAGAAATAATTGCAAAGCCTGAAATTTTCCATATATCAAAAGGATTTATAACAATGGTGAATAGCTTACTATATTAACTAGTAAGATCTATAATGTACTGGAGCGCGCCATTAGAAGAGTAGAGGTGTTCCACTCACTCAGTCCCCAACAATTACACTCTAATGTAAAAATTGTAATATTGTTTTCTTTGTCAGGGACTCACTGATTGGCTAATACTGTTTTTTTTTTTTTTTTTTTTTTTTTTTTTTTTTATATTTTTTTTTTTTTTTTTTTTTTTTTTTTTTGTAGAAATGAGTTAGAAAGACAAATATTTGTTTACCTTCCCTTTCTCCGTTAGGTCGCAGTTTTTCATAGTATTAATACAGGAAAGGCGCGTTTTAATATATTATAGAACTCACTGCTTATATTAGCGATATTCTTATATTTCAGTTCCTACAGGATGTACCGCGCGAGATACAACCATTGCAGATAAGGCTTTATCAAGCATTTAAATTTTCAACGGTATAAACCATATAAGTGAGATATTTCCTATCTCGTATCTATCGTTCTACGCAACATAACATGTATCTACCGTGATAGAAATAGTTGCTAAATTATTTTATGTGTACAATATACAACATAATTAACGTAATGCGTATTAATTTAAGAATACAACGTAAAAAAAATGTACAACCCATCTACATATAATATATGTAGATATTTTGCATTAGAAATGGAAAAAAATGAGTCATTAATATGACATGTTGAACAGATCGCCTTTCTATATCATGCTAAATATCCGGCGCAAAACACGACGTCGCGTCGTCCAAGTTACTTCGATCCGAGTTATCGTTGTCTATCCGGACGAAGAATTCCTTGAACGTTTTACTGGATGACGCGGCCGCGTTTGCCTCGTTGCCCGTTAAGTTTTATTAACTTTGAACGATAGACCGTTCGTCCACCTCGGATCACTTATTCTTTATTCCGCCAACTCTCAAGCATCGCCCTTTCGATCTATTCGCTGTAGCTTTTACTTAAACTTGAATTAATTTTGAGCTCTAATTAAATGTCAAACTTAGGGGCGTAGCACAAATTATAGTAAATAAAATTACTGGAATGAAACTTTTCTACGGGCGGCAAGGTACGTAGAGAGAGGGTATAATTATGGAGAGATGTAAGAACCGAAAAAAGGCAATTTACAAAAAAAGAAAGAATAGGATACTTGCCAGAGATTCAAGCTGCTTTCCCTGTCCCTGAGAGGACTATTCGAGAGGATCATGCAGGACGAAGAGATTCGTTTGAACTATACGTGCTCATCAGCTGCGCGGTTGAAATGAAAGGAACATTGGTAAATAGAGATACGCCGATTCTCGGATGATCCTCGGACTCGATATCGTCCATGTATCGTCAAGCGACTGTCGTCTCGTTAGAATTCAATTAGCGCGACGTGACACGTGCGAGCGACGTAAGACTCAAGACTCCCGACACTCCCGACTCCCGCAGAGACCAGCAGAGACGTTCGTGCCTAGTCTCGTACGTCTCCGCGCGCGTTAGCTTTACCATGTTAGCTCCGCCGCGCTTCCCCTACGCCTCTTTCTCGCCTCTTCTGACTCATTCATCGAGTCCATCTCTCCGCTACCATTTCGTCTTTCTGCCGCGTTCTCCGTTCTACTCTCTAATTCTCACTCTCTCGTCTTCTCATTTAAAACGATTATCAGTGTTAATTGATCGTTTTTTCTTCGTCGTCGAAAGAAATGACAAGACTCATTCTTTTACTCTGCATGATCCTCTTTATTTAGCGCGATCTCGTAGAGAGGACGTTGAATTTATTGAAAAATTCTTCAAATCTCTATATGGAAGATATAGATATTGATTAAATTTTTTACAACATTTTACTACGTCAAGTTATTCATCTAATTAGTGAAGTTATTCGTCTAATTAGGATTTTATTCTTCTTGACTTATATCATTATATTTCACTTAACTCAAATCGCGCAACCCTCAGATTTAGTTCTTTCCACTCTGAGTATTTTTCTTACAGTGTATATAATGATGTTAATGTTACTTTTGGTTATAATTAGTCGAGCTAAAAAAAAAAGAAGAATCGTTTTTATTGACAGCTTTTAAAAAGTTTCAGATTGCCACTCCACAGTTTTAATTAAAAGTCGTTAAAAGGTACACGCGTTTCGCCTTTGTACGCGTGATATATTTTTAGCAAAATAAGTACATATATAGTCATGTGAGCAAACATGAGTAATTTAAATCTTACGAGTATAAAAAATCACAGAACAATATTAATAACTCTTTATGTCGCCTTTCTTTCAGAATAATTCCCAAGGGACTTTACCGCGAATTTTTTCTAATGGTTTGACATAAACGTCGGTCGAGATTTCCGACATTTCTGGCCACTGATCGGCCTTGGCTTGCTCCACTTCCTGATCGACTTCTTTGTAAACTGATGTTCGTATGTTCTGAACACATAATTAAATTAATTTGCGTCAGTTGTCATCGTAAATTATTGTAAAATTTGAAGCATAAACTTTTGTTAATTTTAACAAAGAATTAAAAAAAAAATATATATATATTATATACAGTAAAGTTTGAGAATATTTTTAGTTTTGTTTTCAAGTGTATACTTCAATGTCTTTTTCGGTCATAAGGTCTTTCTCTATGAGGAGTTTGGTAAATGACGTGATTGGGTCTTGCTCGGTTTGCACAGCTTTAATTTCTTCTCTACTGCGATACGAATAACCAGGATCGCTCATACTGTGTCCAAAATAACGATAAGTTATCATCTCTAGCACAATCGGGCCGTTTCTGAGTGCATAATCTCTGCTAAAGCGTATGGCTTCTCGTACATCCATGATCTTCATCCCATCAACCTATACGCAATGGGATGCATATTTCGAGTGTAGGTATACATTGTAGCACGGATATTGGATGATGTAATGGACATGAGTGTTTTTGGTATTTTATATAAATAATAGAACAGAGCTATAGAGTAGACAGAGCATGCGAATTAGCAATATGTGTGCATTTACTTTTATTCCTGGTATGAGGTCTCCGCGCGTATAAAGCCGAGTGTTGGCGGAATGTCGATGCACGGCCGTACCCATACCATATCTATTATTTTCGCAGATGTAGACCGCCGGTAGATTCCAGAGCTTCGCCATGTTCCAAGCCTCATAAATTTGACCCTGCGAAGCTGCACCGTCGCCATACAACGTAAATGATACGGCACCTGTACCATTGTACTTGTGGGCCAAAGCTATACCGGTGCCGATAGGTACCTAATCGTAATAATAAGATAATAAAGTAATGAATATGTAGATTTAACTTGATGAGACCATTTGAAACCATTTGAATAATAAAAGCCGAAAGTATAATATAAAAGTGAGAGCGCATTTACCTGTCCGCCGACGATACCGTCGCCACCGTAAAACCGCGGTGCATACATATGCATCGAGCCGCCCTTACCCTTGGCCGCACCTGTCTTACGACCCATGAGTTCCGCAAAAACCGAGCGACTCGAGATACCAAACACAACAGCGAAACCGTGGCATCTGTATGCCGTAATAACAGTATCTCGTTCAGCTAGAGCCATTTTCAGACCTACAGCTATAGCTTCCTAGAACACACGTTACAAATTTCGTGTTTTCATTTTTCACTCGCAATATGATATATGTATGTTGCACAATTATTGGTTTACATTCCATCATCTAGATTTTTCTCATCTACCTGACCAACGTATAAATGTAAGAAGCCATTAATAAGCCGCTGTCTGTACAGCTCTGCAGCTCTGTTCTCCATCCGACGTATATAGTTCATTGTCTTCAGTGCATATGTAGCATCTTTTATATTTAATGTCGACTTCTCAAGCGGTCCTTTATCAAGCCGATACAAATCGTATTTCTGAAAAAAGGTATTTCAGAACTAGAAAGGCAGAGACAGGAGGAGAGAAAAAAGAAAAAGGGAGTCTGATAAAAATATTGCAAATACCGATTCTACGACAACTTCTTTGGTAACGTTGCGATGTGATAATATATTGTATCGCATCTTAATGCCACAACGTCCAAGTGATAATCCTAACTTTTCCCATATTGAATACATACTTGATAATATCCGACCCTCGATGTTTGTAAGATAATTTTCTTAATGCTTTCCACTTTTCAAAGTTGCTTCGACGTCAGTCTACTCAAATCGACATTTATCGTTAACGCATTATCGTTCAATTTTCTACAGCACACACGACATTTTACTACGTACACCATATACACATACTTTTCTTCCTGCTTTACAACATGGTTCCTTGATACATCTATTACTATTTGTAATATAAATAAAATTTATTTATTTTATGAGTAAGTTTATACATTTGAAAAAACTTGCGTGTTTTTCCAAGATAACTGATCCAATTAAATCTCCAATATTATTCATTTACAATTACTGCTTGCATTCTCACATTCTCAATGCGATTTGATCAATCGCAAAATGACAATCGCATTATAAATACGTCAACGTTTGAACACATCCATGATGATAAACAGACATGTGTCATCATGTGTTGGTCGAGACATATATTCGGAATGCGTGTTTTCTGTGTATAAAACGCTTGCGTCGAAGAGAGCACAATCGCATCTACTTTTTATAAACAGTTTTAATCTAATAATTTAGTAACTTCATTATAAGAAACAAATTCAAAAGATAAGTTTGGAACCAATCGCAAGAACTATATGCGTTTATTATACAGCAGTATTATAATAAATTATGGGCAATTTGATAAATCAGTGACTTTTTAAAAGGAGACTATGTTGAAAAATAAGTCAAACGTTGATTTTTAAAAAAGTAAAAAAAGTTACGTATTATAGATAAACGTTCGATTGAGATTTATACTCGATATTGACATCGAATATGCATTTGATTATGAAGTGAAATCAATGTTTACTATATTTTGTTCTCGAAAAAAAATCTTGTAATTTCCACAAAAGCTATTGCTTACGTCGTCAAAAGTTTCTTCCGTACTAATTAGAGACAGGGAACGGAAGTAAAGTAACTAATCGTTATTTGTAACGAAGTTATAGTTATGTTATAAGTTACTTTTTTGGTAATTTTACTGGTATATAAATACTTATTTCTCTTTGGTAACTGTAACGGTAACGAAGTTATGTTTTTTTGGTAACAAATTGGTAATGAATTTTACAGTTACTTTTTTATCGTTATTTTCTATATGATTGGACACAAACTACTCGTAACATTTGAAATTAATAGAAAGTCCTAGGCCTGTTTGCTGTGATTGTGGTCGTCGATTTTAAAAAAGTAATGGAAAAGTAACGAAAAGTTACTTTCTCAAGTAATGGTAAGGGCCCTAACTGTACTTAACGAGTTACTTTTTCTACTCGATAACGAGAAACTGTAACTCGTTATTCTTTTAAAAAGTAAACTTTCCATTCCCTGATTAGAAATTCTAATGGAAATTAAGGATGATATTGAAGTTGTCCTAAAAAGGATGGAAAGAGTAAAGATATGCACAACGAAAATGTGCTAGCTAGTATTTATCGAACCAACAATAAATGTCCCAGTTACCTGCGCATGATTAAAAAGTAAAACTACAATCTATTTTTTTCCTCTAGGATAAAAATATGCGGATTTTATTCAGAAATCTCTTGTGTGTGTGTGTGTGTGTGTGTGTGTTGCATATACGAAAGTTAATAAAGCCTACGATATTTTCTCTCAACGTTACGGACACGCTGATTATATTTATCAACATTCCAATATCGACAATTGTAGGAGCACACACACATTAGCACAATTATACGATTACATTAAATTCTAGATGAAATCGAACGTCAAGATTCTCTGTCGAGGACGACGATAGTATTTTAACGGCATTTTCTTCGCGTGAAAAGGGTATAGCGGTTTTTGCGTAAATGTATCCGAACGCATCGCATAAAACTGGGAATCTTTCATAATATTTCGATGACTTTTCGAATCAACCAGGAAGGCGATTGCATCTCGCCACCATCGACGCGCATCTCGTTTTCGTGTTTCACGTATTTGCATCGATAATAACTTTTCATCTCGAACAATGTGTCGGCTATGACGAGGACATGGTTGACGCTTATTCGCAGCTCGCAGCATCCAAGCATGTGTAGGCGCTGCTACGCGATCTATTTCGACCTATGCATTCGAAAATATAAATTATAAAGATCGTAGCTACTTGAAATGAGTCCACGTATTCCGATGTAGTTAATGATTGCTTTAACCGAAAAGCAACTTTGCAACTTTTGTAATATGTTTTTTAATATGACTGATTCTGCTTTTAGTTATATATATATATATCTTTTACTATAGATCCAAATGTATAAGCCAAGCATGTTAAAGAATTTTACATCTGCGAAACTGTTTTTTTTTCTACTGAACGCAATCAAAGCGAAACAGTAAGCGTAAATTGTCGTAAATCAATTAATCGCAACCGAGTTAAATAATTGGTAAAACTGTAGAAAAGGGGAGCACCCGCCGACGACCTTTACCTTGACATATATTGTCAAGGTCATCACTCTAAGTAACCTCTAACAAGTTTTAGCTGGCGCTCGTTATATTCGTTAAAAAAGTTTATTATTAACAAAAAAAGTTTAAAAAATGGTGTCTCTTTTTTACTATATATGAAACAAAAATTTCCTGCTCGAAAATACAATATTTTACGACTTTCTACGCGAAGCTACTCCTACCCCATCTCCAGCACGTTTACACCGTACCTTTAGTCCGCGATCCATACAATAGGTGTCCTTGTTTATTCTGTAGGTTAAACAAAAATACCTATCATATGGGTCGCGAACTAAGCTTACGGTGTAAACATGTATCGGGTTAGGGTTAGAATTATTATTTAGTTAGGTTATTATATACCCATGGGTGTATAATAATCTAACCCTAATCAAATCATGTATTGTAAACTATGCAGAGTAAAGCAGGAAAAATTTTCTGTTCTAAGAACAAAAATTATATAAGAAAATATGAAAATCGTGCGCCCCCCCCCCCCCCCCCAAACAAGGAGGGGGGAAGGTGGAGTGGAAGTCGCGTCGCGTGGAAAGTTGTAAAACTTTAAAGCAGGAAATTTCTGTTTTATATGGTGGAAAAGAGATATCGTATGTTATTTCTTAAACTTTTTTTGTTAATAACTTTTTAACGAACGACGAGCACCGGCTAAAACTTGTTGGAAGTTACTCAGGGTGATGACCTTAACAACATATGCCAAGGTAAAGGTCGTCGGCGGGTGCTCCCCTTTTCTGCAGTTTACCAAATAATTATGTCTTTTATCTCGTATATATGCATCAATATATGCGTCATCGTTTTTTATATCAGACAGACAAGCTAGTATCTAATAAGTATTTATTGTTAGTACATATACTTGAGACATACTTTGATACGCTTGAAACCTCTGCGACTGATTTGTAACGTTTGACGTGTCGCCGATGGTATTTCGGCTTTTTGCTTCGGATTTCGTTGTTTGTCGGGATCACCAAACAGTCCTTTTGATTCTGCCACTTTGATCATGAAAAGCGAATCAAACTGCATCATTTCCTTTCGTTTTATTACAGCGATGAAACAGCCTGGATCCAATGTATGTTCGTTCGTTTCGCCATAAATTTCTTCGATAGTCCCCACTTCGAACAAATCACTATCGGGGATCTAACGATATATTTAATTTTATAATTAAGTATTGATCGATAATCATTAATAAGCGATAATTTGACGCGCGTATAATATTATATACTTATGAATGATCTTACAACAATATCAGTCGTATTCAACAACTTTTCATCTTCCTCGTCCTCCTGCTTGCACAAAAACATTTGTTCGTGTTGCGTTTGCGATTGGTCCTCCCAATGTTCTCGCGATTGTTCCTGCCTATGCACATCAGTTTTAATCGACTTTGGATTCTTTCCGTCTTTGGTCTTTCTCTTTGGCTGTAAGGCAACAAAATATAAAACTTAACGATAATACATAAATTAATGTAGGGCATTTAGGAATCCGCGCTGTAATCGGTGCGCTTAAAAAATACTGGACGAACCTCAATATAACTTAAATGTATTTAACATAATTGAGTACAAGTACGTTTCGGCTAAATTCTAGCCTTCTTCAGCTTGACATCGTTGACAATAGTAATATCTACACACGTGGAAAACCTTTGGTTATCCTCCGTTCAAGCTGAAAAAGGCTAGAATTTAGCCGAAACGTACTTGTACTCAATTATATATTAAATACATTCATTCATAAGTTATACTGAGATTCGTCCAGTATTTTAAGCGCACTGATTATAGCGCGGATTCCTAAATGCCCTACATTAAGCAACAAAATATATACTACTTTTAGAAATTAAGTGAATACGCGCGTGAAAAAATATGTAATATTTTTTTGAAAGATACTTTTGGGACAAATCATCGCCAACTCAATATAATAACGCATATATGTATATAATTGTAATATTATATAATCATAATAAATTACGACGCGGTTAAGATGGACGTTATTCTTAATAGCTTTAAAATTTGAAACTCATATACGTCGTCGTCCACTAATAGAGGATCAATGTATGTCATCTTTATTAAAATTGTTTTATCGCTGAGGATAGCTTAAAATAAGCTCGAAAGGTTTAAAATCAACACCTAAACGGTCTAGCTGGAGCTTAATACTTGTATGATTCTTACGTGAATTTACATACTACGTGTGTAGTTCCCAGAAACGCGCGCCGAAATGAATTTTCGGTCTTAATATTTCATGTAGTATATAAGAAGGATTATGTATTGATTTATAGATGTAAATTAAACATTAAAATGGTATACGCTGATATACATGCAATAATACACTGCAGTGGCTTTCCTTTATTACTAATTTCATTTTAAATACTACTGAGAGCCTGAAATTATTTCTTTTTGTTTTATAATCATAAGTAATTAACGACAATGTTTTCCTGTCTGTTTATAATAAGTAATTCAATTATGCAAATGCAGTCAACAACTGCATGTCCAATACGATTTAAATATAAGTATATATATATATATATCTATAAAAAGTCGACTTACAAGATGCTCACGAATGTATTTCTCCATGGCTAATTGATTGGCATATTCGACAACTTGATGAATCATTTCCGTAGTTTCGGATGGCAAGATCGTATGCACCTCGTATATTAGGAACTGTATATTTGGTCTGGTTAGTGCATACTTGAGTGTGGAAAATTGTTCAGCCAGAAGAGCGCGGGGTTGTTTGATCCCATCCGCTGTATCACTAGTTAACGATTCTAATAAATTAATGTCACCACCGCGAGCAACGGCAAGATCGACGATGTCCCGGACGCCGGTGTAGCTACACGGGGGAGTCGCCAGAACAACAGTCGCTCTTTCCAATTCTACGGACGATGGTGATAAAATGTATCTAAAGATAAAGAATCATAATGTTTTCCAAAAGTAATTGTGAGGGTAATTGTGACAAATCTTGTGATAGAATAATAGAGCCATTATATATCTTACTTTTCTGAAAACATTCTGCATTGTTGGAAAGTGACGCCTAAATTCGTGAGATATGCTTCGTACTCGCAACGACGATCTCCAACACCGAAAGCTAATAGTCTCCCGGCATCCTCGATGTCGGCCAAGAGTCCGGCCAAGTAACCCGTGTGACGAGGGGCGATCGAATGCGTGAGAACTACGGGACCGCAAAGACGAGCAACACGTATCGCCTGCGCTAACGTAGCCGCTCCGAGACACAAT